GGGGGGGGGGGGGGGGGGGATTCTTGAAGAAGATTGTTCAGAAAATGGTTACGATATGTTAACCTATAATATTTTTTCAGACTGCACTTTCGTGTGATCATAAATGGTTATTTGTTATTGTAATTAATGAAAGCATGAGAAATATAAGATTGTAATCGCAGTCAAATTACTCATCACAATCTACTCTTTTTCGAACCTGGATACCAACGTAATTGCGAGCGAATTTTACTGCTTCTGCAATATAATTGTTATATGAACAAATTAGCCCTAAGAAGGAGATGGGCAAAAATCACAATATTGGGATTGTTGGCGGTATAAATTTGTCAGTATTTGCCAGTAAAAAATGAATTGTTTATTGACATAACAGCAAAACTGACTATAGTCGTTATCTACCTAATGAACAGAGTTGAGATTAGAGCGAGTGAGCAAGGGCAATGGATGTTTCAATGGTCAATCAATGGCCAATAAAACACGTTAAGTAATCGAAATTCGCGTTGGCCACATGCGCGTCTATGAACGTTAACTCAATTACACGCCGAGTACACACTCGAATAGTTGGCAAGGGTAGTTAGAGCATAAGTTTTGCTGCTTCATCAGTTTGCAATTTTGGTAATGGTCATTGATAATTTTTCACATTACTGGAAAATCCCAATAAAATTCTTGATATTTTTAACGATGAAAGTTGTCGAAGTTCTCATTCAAAGTCCACCGGGAATTTTTCGTACTTATCTGGAAAAGCTTCCCTCCTGTCGGGGGAAACCTTCGTAATGTTTTACGGCTGGCATTCGCCGGAATAGCCAATAATTTCAGACGCCTGCGGATATTTTATTGAAAATTTAAAGGAAAATAATCAAGATATACTTAATTCATTTCGGTAGAGTGGTTTCATGTGTGTTTCAGTTGCAACAATTCTTAAACCTTTGAAAGAGAAGAAAAATTTGGAGTCTACATTCTTTCAATAAATTCAGTATTTACAATTCAAAAGATATTGGAAAAATTCCCCTGAAAATTTCAATTTATTTGTTCCCACGCAAACAGTCATAAACCGAAAAACGTTCTTGATTAAATTTCCCTGAAAAAATTCCATCCATTCAGCAAATACTCCGGTTTTTTTTAATTTTATAGTTTTCCAGATCTTTTATTGTCGAATTCCTAGGAGAGAAATGATCCAGACACATTTATTCATGAAGTTAATCCTCAACCGCTCCAAACATTCATGTCTTTAATTCCCAAACTTTCCAATCGTTTTTATAGCTTCATTCAACAGTTCAAAAATCCGAAATGTCTAGACAATTTTATTACCATCGATTATCATACGCAAAGGAGCCAAAATAAAAGCCATTGAAGCCATTGAGCATACTCATACCTTTTACCTGACTAACTTCTCCTGTACATGCGGATGCTTCGGACTCCACAAGCGGTATCACCTTTTTCTCCTATTATTTCCCACTTTGACCAATCCTAGCAAATATCACGGAAATGCCAAATCCCCCAAACACAAATAATCCAAACTATCCCCTCCATTCTCAAAGTCATACGCCAAAATGTATTCAAATCTTTCGTCAGTTCGAACTTAGCTCTCGAGCAAATAATCCGAGGGGCTAATAACTCCAAGATCGAGTGACGCCATGACTGCAGACTGCAGTCGATTTCACCTGACGACATCAGTGATTTCAATGACTGGATTGAATTCACAATCTCATTGATTTCAAGCATAATTTCCGGTGATTTCATGACTCATCAATGATTTCATTGATTTTATTGAAACTTTAACTTTACTTTAACTGAAATCAATGATTTCTACGTAATTGAAATGACTGAAAACTCAATCACCCGAGATTGAAAGAATAATCGAGATCAAATAATTAATTATCAAAACGATTGATTTTATTATCATAAAACATTTAACGAACGCTTACAAATTATTATTATTTCTAATAAACGAATGAACAATACTAGAAGTACTTTTTTACATCTCTCAAAATTTTTTGGTCAACTTTCAAGTGCCCTTCATCATCAAACGTTGGAGGTGAAATTATTTTTCGATATTGTTTAATATCAACATAGCCCTGAGACGTCATTGGCTACGACAGTAACGTATCTGAATTTGTCTTTAAAATATATCAACAACACAAAACACCTATGTCTGTTTTGTTACCATCAATGCGCGCGTATGAACCAGAAAATTCTCAAACCAAAAATTCTAGAACGAGTATAGAGCGTGGTGTATTTTCGGTCGAGGGATTCTCTCGTGATTTCATGGATTTCATTAACTGCAAATGATTTCATTCTGACTTCAAGAAATGACTCCATGAATGAGAATCACGAGATTTCTATGATTCCACTGATGTCAGCGATTTCAGTGATTTCAGGGGTGACTCCGAATTGATTTCACCAGTGACACCATGATTTCAGGAGTTACTAGTCCCTCGAAGTAACCAGTTAAAATTAATTAAAAACTATGTACAGTGTTCAGTAAAATTAAAATATATAAGCGTTAACCTGTAACCCAAGCATTTTATGAAGTCTTTTTAAATACCCATCACATCATTAAGAATCTTTAAACGTTGATCCAGTTTTTATGAATTTCATTAAAAACATAACAAAATCCAAAGGGATTTCACTTCACAATTCAACGGTGAATCGGAGGAATTTTTGCGGAGGACAATGTCCGGGAACCCCCTACGACTAATGGCGATCTGTCACTGATCTTATTGTGCATCAAACAAAACTTGTGATAAACGAAAAGATTGACGTTAACACTCCACATTCGTTACTAAATAGCGTGATAATTACCGAAGCGAAAATTTCTAACAAAATTTTACATTAGTTCATTGATATGGTAAAATCCATTAACACCGAAACAAATCACGGTGAACACCCCTTTGTTCCAAATGAATCACCCTTAGCGTGACTGCAAATAGGCGTCAGAAAGGGGAAAAGAAAGCGGTAGGGTTGGGTGTATGATCGACTACGTTTCGGATATATTTCTAAAATATTCGATCTCACATTTGGATTCCCGCGTGAATGCATATCTCTTCTCAAAGTTGAATATTTTTGAAAATTTGGAACTTTACATATTTGTAAAAATATTGTAGTCAAGACTAATTTCATGAATTCGAATCACGCAGGATTGCCTTGAGAAATAATGTAAACAAGACGGTCAGCAACAAACTACACAGATTATCCGGTAACAAGACAAAAACTTGAGCGTCAAATACCAAAAATCTCAATTTTCTCTCAGTATTTTCAAGTCTCTTTCAAGTTTCGAGAGAAATTTGGGACTAGATCTAGACTCCATAAATCTCTGTCTTTCATCCCGACAAAAAAATCACATAAACCAGGCCACGGTATAGTGCCGAATTCATCTCGAAACTTGAATGTGATTTAAAAACGTCAAAACAAATGCCCCTCAAGTCTCGGAACAAATTCATCGATCTCTCACAAATATCCCTCTTTTGTTCTGGACCGATCCGAAGTTTCTCCAAATGTCAAAATTGGGGGACTTTGCGCCT